ACATGAATATTTTCTTAACTTACATTACTTTGACTTACTTATACTTACATATAACAATGAAATATATCTAATGTCTCTTATTATAAGGTCGACGGGCTCTGAACTGATCCGAACGAAAAAGGTCATCCAACGGAGACTGGTGCTCAGTAGCTCTACGTGCGGACTTTGGTAGGATCCTCCTTGGAATGGTTACCACAGACTGCAACCTCTTAGGTTGTTTCCTCGGGGACCTTCTGCAGGGAACTGGATTATACCGCTCACCCTCATCGGGGCCATCATGGATGAACTTCACCTTCGACTGAGGACCAACTCCAGAATCCAACCTCTTCTCAAGGTCTGATATGGTGACCTGATTTTTGCACAATAACTCGTCTCTGCCGCTCTATCTCCCTCTGGAAGCCGGCGTTCTCCTCTCTCGGGGAAGACTGGGGCTCCACCAGCTCCTGAATGAAAAACTCTTTAATGAGCTGCTGATCTGGTAAGACTTCATCTTTAGTGACTTTATGTCCAAGGAAAATAACTTCATCTTGAAAAAGGCTACATTTCTCTGGTTTCAATTTTAAACCTGCATCTGTTATTCTCTGAACCACCTGGCTAAGTCTGGACATGTGTTCATCGAAATTTCTGCTAAATATCACTACATCGTCCAAATAAATAAGACAAATATCCCACTGGAGGCCATTCAATGCCATCTCCATAAGTCTCTGGAAAGTACCTGGTGCATTAGTTAATCCAAAAGGCATGGTTTTATACTCGAAATGACCATATTTTGTAACAAATGCTGTTTTTGGTATATCTTCAGCCTTAACTCTGACTTGGTGATATCCTGCTGTCAAATCCAGAGTGGAAAACATTGAAGCTCCTGCAACGGAATCTAGACAGTCTTGAATTTGTGGGAGTGGGAATGCATCCTTAACTGTTAAATTATTTACATCTCGATAATCCACACAGACTCTTATTTTTCCATTCTTCTTTCTAGCTAAGACCAGTGGAGAGGACCAAGGTGATGAAGAAGGTTGTATTATGCCCCTCTCTCGAAGGTTCAGAATGTCATCTCTCTCCTCATTGGCTAGTGCTATTGGAACTCTACGAGGTGGCTGTTTTACAGGTTTACTCTCACCAGTATTAATCTCATGTTCAACTAAATTGGTTTGTCCTAGGTCCCATTCATCTTTTGAAAATGCATCCTGATGGTCGCGCAAGACTTTCCGAAAAGCTTCTTTTTCTGACTTATTTAAGGACTGGGAAGAGCCTTCATAAAGCTCACGCAAATGATCTGGAACCTCACATGCCTCACCAGGCGAAAGTTCAGTAGATCGGCAAAGGCTTCTTAGGTCACTAAAAACCGGTTGAATTACATCTACTATTCCCCCATATCCTTCAACAGTACCCACTACTGTGTCTGGATAAAGCGTTTTTCCCTCATCAAAAGGGTTCATAACTCTCAGGGGTACACACAGTTTCCCTCTGATGTTAAGAACTGCTGGGGCTAACAGTAAGGAGGTCTTCTCCATAAGATCTCCACTTGGCACAAACATAAGGTCCTCTTCAACATCAACCTCACATTCACGCTGTATAAAAGCCGGTATTATTACTTCTGTATTCCCAGGTATATCACATCTCTCCACACAACGGAGGGTAATATCTTTATGCACACCACGTTGTATGCATGGAATATCATGACCTTTGAACCTTATCAGTCCTTTACTCAGGAGAATATCTGCTTGACCAATCTCACTATTCTGCAGGATGTCCACTCCAAGTAACACTTCATCTTGGATATCGGCTACAAATAGGTTTTTCTTGAGGGTCAAGGAACCAAGTTTCAAATCAAACGCTCCTTTCCCATAAACATGAATGGTACTTCCGTCAGCTCCTCGTAAGTGTGACTTTCCTTGAAGTCTGGGTCTGTTCATCTCTTTGAGTTGTTCATACACCTTGTACGCAGGTGAGTTAAGGCTACATATGGAGGTTTATATGCAAAATATCTAATTAAATTCCTTAATTGCTCTACCTACCGCACAGAAAATGTTAAGACTTGCTTTCTATAATACATTCTTGGTACCCACGACATGCGATAGCCAGTTCACATTATGACGTCATATTATGACGTCATCGATCTCTACTACACAAGTTTATAAGAAACATCAACAAAATCGCTTCGGCGCAAGGGCATACCTTACTTTGTTTAACAGAAACAAGGTATAAAAAGACGCAAGATATTCTAAGGATTTAAGATATTGCTGCACAAATATCGGCACTGTAATTGTTTAGTTACTATTCGTGCAGTTTTAAGTTTAAACAGGGTAAAAATTCACAGTCCAGTGTAAGTTTCCTAAAATTTTTATTGATTGAGAAAGTGCATAGGATTTGTGCAGCAATTTTATTAATTTTAACAACATTCTCCTTAATATTATTCATTGTTTATTTTAAATTAGATAGGATATGCCCTTGCGCCGACGTGGTTTTGTTGATGTAATTCATTACCTTGGATGGGATAGAACAATGACGTCATAATATGACGTCATAATGTGCACTTGCATTTATAAACTATGGATACTATGTATGTATAAGAAAATCTCTTTGAACTTTCTCTGTACACAAAATATACAATTTATGAATTTTTATTAGCTCATTTGCATAGAAATATCCATATTTAGCCTTAACTCACTTGCGTACGAAAGTATAGTATTGGATGCACCAGTATCTGTTGTAATATGGACGTCTAGACCATTTACTTTTCCTTCTATGTACACACCATCTGCATCTGGTATCCGATTAGAAATAAAACAAAAATCTTCTGACTCATCGAAATTATCTGGTTGTCTGTCTGTTGGTGGGTCTAAACTGTTCGTCTGTCTGTCAGTTTCTTCTATAGCCGGTCCTTGACCCACAGGAACGGCTAATGCCTGTTTAAAGGTGCCTTTGATACTTGAAGGTCATTAATTCTCTTTGGGCAGTCCCTTATGAAATGACCTTCACCTTTGCAGTAAAAACAGCTACGTTTCTGTGGTCTGTCCAGAGGAGCCATCTGACCGGAAGACATGCCTGGTTGAGACGTACCAATAATAGGCCTACTTGGCTGTGTCCCAGTGTTGCTCTGCTTAGTCAGGTTGTCGAGAACCTTTGCCACCTCATCGATTTGTTTCTGCAAGGCTTCAATAGTGCTACCCGACCCTTGTTTGTTTCCTTGGCTGTACTTTATATTTCTGATGCTTTTCTTTTTCAGCGACTTGGCCTTAGTGATTGTCTTAGGCGTGGCTTCTGATTCAGAATCACTGGACAGCGACTTCACCACTCTGACATGTTTCTTAGTTGAAGGTCGACCTGCTTCTTCGTAATTTATAACCTGTCGTACAGCTTCATGTATATCTGAGGGGTCCTTGACGTATTCTACATGAAATTGGGCTTCTCTATCAGCCAGACCATCTAAAAATTTCCTGAGCAAGTCTTCCTCTCTAGTCTTTGAGTCTCGCTCTGGGTGGGCTTTGACATACAGGCGCTTCAAATCAGCAGCAAAGTCCTCGACTCGCTCACCAGGTTTCTGAACTCTGTTATTAAATTTTGACAGGTAGGTTCGACTGGTTTCAATTGCACGGAAACGGTTGGTCAGTTCCTTTGTAAGTCTCTTATAACTGCTTCTGGACTCTTTCGATAATTGGCCATAAACAAAGTCAGCAGCATCTTCATGTAGTCTAGGCAGCAATTGGTCCAGTTTGTCATCTGTTGTCCAGTGGTATCTATCTGCAACTTCCTCAAAACGACAGAACCAGACAGACCAGTCTTCTTTCCCAGTGTATGGAGGAATCTTTACATTGTGATGCTTAGCCTTTTTCCGGTACACAAAGTCAGACTCTTGCGATGTTTCTCTGTCGCTACTCAAACACTCGTGAGATGTGCTACATGTATCTGATTGTCTGTTGTCAGGGTTGGTCCTTTGGTGGTGATCTTGTTCAGAGAGCTGTTTAATCTTCTCTTGTAAATGCTCTACCATCTCCGTGAGCTGGATAAGTGCAGTTTGCTCGCTTTCTGTCCTTGTTATATCTCGTACACTTCTCATGGGAGCAGAGAAGGTCTGATTCGGCATCACAGGTACAGAACCTGTACACAAGCTTACAGGTACAGAACCTGTACTTATAGGGCCAACAGGCACAGAACCTGTACGCAAACTAACAGGCACAGAACCTGTACATTTACATGAGCTTACAGGTACATTACCTGTACAAGAACTTACAGGCACAGAACCTGTACACAAACTTAGAGGTAAATGAGTTCTTGCGCAAACGTTGGGAGCTGATGTTGTAATTGTGGGGAATGGGGTGAACATATGTGTGCTCTGGTTTTGATGACAATAAACAGGACCTTGAAAACTCGCAGTACAAGGAACTGCATAAGAGTTTACAGGTAAGGTAGTGCGACAATATGAACCTGTACATGAACTCAAGGTGCTGTGTGTATGAGAGTTCACAGGTAACCTAGATACTGGACTTGCTGTCTGTGTAATGGAGGGGCCCATGTGAGTACATGTACTGGTAACTGCAGGTATATACGTACTAGGAACAACTGTCGGCTCTCTAGGCAAACCTGTACATAAATTCTCAGCAAAATGTGAGCAAACAGGTACAAAAGGCATCTGAGTTGTGGGACCAGAGATGTGAAAATGGCTCACTCTAGGCGTAACTACACTGTGTGCTGTCTGTGGCTGCTCTGTAGTGGTACTCACAGTTACAGAAACTGTATTTGAGTTCCCAATAAAAGGTGTAGATTCTTCATCTCTCACAACGTCTGCCTGAGAACTCACAAGCATTAAACTTGTATCTGAGTTACGTAAAAATTGAGAGGCTTCTTTATTTGAATGAACAAGTGGTTTAGTTCTGTGCATGTCAGCTCCTTCACACGGAAATTCACATTCGCTTTCATTTTCTCTTACAGTACTTACGGAGGAGCACGAAACTCGTGAGGTAGATCTTGATTCTTGAAGACCACGACGCCTCCGTCGGCTTTTACGACCTGCCATTGTGATTTATTTTTATTTGATGTTTGCTTAATAAAATTTTTGTTTCTCAAACACAGACAAAGCGTTGTTATGATTCGATCACAGGACCCGTAAATTTAAACGGATCATTCAATCACAGGACCCGTAAATTTAAACAGATCCCGCCGTGGATGCCAAAATTGTAACGCTTCTGAACGCCTGCCTTGTGTTGAGAACAAAAACTTCGATGTAAAGTTTTATAATTTTATTCAGTAATACATGAACAGCAAAAATAAATAACAATGTTTGAAATTCACACAAGTCTCAACCCTCGGGACATAGATCTAAGACCAAAATCAGTACAACTACTGATATAGAACTCGGCAACTGGCACTATTTCCAGTAATTTATGATTTAAGTAGAAATTCCCCCGACCAAAATAAAACGTAAAGGCTCTCGATAAATGACTTATAATTAATTTACAAATAAATATTCCCGCTACTAGTACAACTACTAGCACGCTGCAGAAATATTTCCCAACTCCTAAACTGGACTAAAGAAGATAAAATAACTAGTTCACAACTAGTAATTATGAATAAAACTAGTACAATTACTAGTAATAATTAATTTAGCCTAACCTAACATTACACATCATGTACTTCAGTCACACAGATACTGAACTAGTACACACCTTAAATTACTCTGGACAAAAACAGCAGACCTTTCACTACGACGCAAAGAAAACGAGAGAGCAAACGATACTCAGCATCCGAGTATTTATAGAATTAACAAAACCCGCAATAATTCATAACCAATCATCTAGGCCCTATTATCGTCCCGTAATGAAATCTCACTCTCGTACATCGCATGTGAAATTATTACAATACATAAATAAATTAAATAAATTCATAAAACATAAAGTTACACTTTTAAAAGCTCATTTAACACTGTTTAACATTTAATTTAAAAGAATTTACAATCAAATCTTCCGCCGAAATAACTCCAGTAAAAATAGATCACCGTGAAGCATCACGGGAAAATACACGAGTAAACAAAGTATGGCGGCGGCAGAAGTTTCAGTGAAACGTGTGTAATCGAAGACCACAAAAACATCGATCACACAAGAAATAAGGTAACTATAAGACAATTCTTAATTACAGCGCAACTTTACAATTACGTATGTACAATTAAGCCAACAAAAAGCGTGTAATTAAATAGTAAGACGATGTCTGACACTCAATACATCGAAACCATAGGCAAACGACATAGACCTTCGCTACATGTAAACAACCAACGATTAATAAATAAATCAAATGGACATTTCAATATTCTATAAGAACTGATGAATGAATTGAAAGTATGCATGAAAGTGCTTTAGAAAAATACCAAGATAAAAAAAAATGAGATTCATAGAAAAATAGGGGGGAGGGATCGTTACAATATTTTCTAGTGAAATCGAACTTTCAAGAATCACTTTATTTTGAAATAGTCTTAAATATGATTAAATGTATTTCATATTTTTTCTTGTGCTTTACACAAATAAATAAAACATATATAAATTATTAAAATCAATTATTTAGTTGTAAAAAGCTTTAGAATTGGTGAATAATCAACATTTTTTTCGTTTTTTGTCTATAAACATATGTTCCCCCCCCCCCGTGAAACACAAAAAGCTTTGGCATAAATTTGTAAAATGACAGTCTTTATTACCTGTAAAAAGGAATTTTTGTTTCATGGGGGGGAAAGATGTTTTAAAAATATTTTCCGTTTTCCGTTGATTTCTATAGTGAAATACTCAAGTTTTACCATAATTATAGAGTTTTTTTTCTTTGGTATCCCAAAAAAGTAACGTTTTATGAAAATTCATATAAATATCTATGAAAATTCTGAAAATCATTTGAATATGTTAACTTTTGAGAATTGACTTAGAGCTAGGCGGGAGAACAATACTATTGTTCGTGGTTCTTTATATACTTGACCACCAGTATAAATATATTTCCCTATCTAAATATATTTTATATTTTAAAATTAGCTAAGACCTTTTCATGAAATGTATTTCAGAAAATTTTGGAATTAACCTTTACATACTGAAGTTTTATGGACATGTAAACAGGTGGAAAGGCAGATAAAATCAATGTCCCTAAATTTTTTATTACGGGGCATAAAAATATAATATACCTGCAGGTACCAGCTGGTTTTACATGCCAATGTCATAATTTCTTAACCTTCCTGTTTAAGTCCTTACACTACATAATCCATCTTTCCGTTTCATAGATTCTCACCTGAACTTTCTATGGAGACAATTCTGGCTCCCGGTCCATAGTCTTTAAATGTGGTCCCTACTTGTTCCCATTTTTTGTCACGGTATATTCTACCAGTTTCTGGTAAATTGTAACGCTGCATTACCTGGTTAATAAAAACACATTTATTTAATTCTACCTCTTATAGCAAAGTCGTAAGTTTCACTTCATGAATTTTTTGAAATTATAAACAAACTACTGATACATAAGGGTTGTCCAGAAAATTACTTTTAGATGACAACTTTTTTCCCCTTTATCCTGTTTATTCTTTATATAAAAGCAAGAAAAATCTTAAATTTTGGTTATTAAAAATCCTGAGAGAGAGAGAGATTTACATTGCCATCACTATCCATAAGAAGAGCTGTCATTTTGTAATGCCCCCCGCCACATACTCCTTCCCTGTACCATTCAGTC